AAAGAAACTGAGCCAGATTACCCCTTCGATGACCTCAAGGAGAATACACCCTGCAGATTGCACGTTCCCATTGGACGCGCCGGTAAAACTCTTCAGGCCGCTACAGCCATTGCTATCCCTGGGAGAACATACAATGAACAGTTCATACCCGATGCGTATGCCAAGGTGCAGCCACAAGTGGTCCACGAAGGGTTTGAGTCCTACGACATTGACTACCCGACTGCAGATGGTGTATCCGTACTTGGGGATGCAGTCGATCTTGTAATTCTCTGGCACAAGAATGACATATCCTTTGGATTGGGCACCGACGCCACGCAAAAACCTGTGGTGGATAAACCGGGGTTGGGAAAACCTCCGAGGCCTCCTAAGAGGAAGGTGACTGATAAGGCGGATGATCTAGAGATGCAAAAGGAAAATCCAGTGCCGGAAGTGCCACCAGAGATTGCATTGCCGGAGGTAGCCATGGAGATTGCACCGCCGGAGACAACCATGGAGATTCCAGTGCCGGATGTGCCCATGGAGATTACAGTGGCAGAACCAGAGGTGCAATTTGTGGCATCAGTCGGGTCAGACAAAGAAGAAGTACCAGGATTGGAATGGGACGGTACAGAGCCAGAAATATTTGAAGACCCTTCTCCTGCGAAAGACCCCGAGGTGCCACGAGTGCTTAGGAGCCACGACTCCAAGTCCAAAGATGAGAACAAGGAGAAGTTCATGGTAACCGTCTTCAGAGGGGGTAAGGAACGTGCCAAGCTCAGAGATGACGACCCCAAGAAGGCTGCTGAACTAGCCGGGCCAACATACTTCGCAACCGATGATTGCCCGGAAAAGTACGAACATGGGAAATCACTCTTGCCGGAATAGGCACTGAAAGAAGCACCATGGGAGATGAGAAGGTTACATAACTTCTACATGGAGGCCAGCAAGAAAGGCTTGGGCAATATAACAGCTCGATCACCGGCAGATTGTTTCGGCGAAGAAGGTTACGTATGGCTAGATTTCTCAGATCTCCACGCCATATGTCGTCGTGATAAGATGGACGTCAACTACGTCGGTGTTTGGTGCATGTGAGTATGAGTTTTAATTAATTAGATGAAAAATATGTACAATACAAATCCATGTGATTGTTACTAACAAACTTCTTCTGTAGGATGCAATACATGGATTCTAAGAAGAAAAAAGAACCCATTGGCTTCTTGGATCCAACTCAGATCTGCCAAACACAGCATACCGTGACGCTAGCACCAGGGTCAGACCATCTGAAGGGCAAGAATCCAAAAGAGATAGCAGAATACAAGAAGGGCTTGCACAAGGAGAAATTGATTACTGTCGCACAGTACATTGGACGAGCCTTCTTGCACTTTCAAAATAAGAGAGTCGTCATGGCCGCTTATAATTTTAAGTAAGTCCGGTACATTTATCTTGTACACATATGTCTTATTTTAGCTGGTACTAACTAACTATAATGTTGTTAATATGTAGCGATCATTATATCTGTTTACTCATCCACCCTAAAGACGGAACCGTGGTAGTCTTGGATCCTCTCGATTACAGTCACAAGCAATACAAAGAATTTCTAACAATCTTACAGTAGTAAGTTATTATGACTCTTGCATTTGTATATGAATGTATTACAAATAAATATCCTCCTTACTCTGAAATGGTACGACATCCATACAGTGCATACCAATACTACAAGTTCAAGGGTGGAGAACAGACCCGAACACGGGAGAAGCTGCTAGTACGTACCTATTGGCCGGTAATACTCCACCCACTTTATGTATTCCAATTGTTTCACTAATTTCAAATTTTAACTACTTTTTTCTATGATATGTCCTGAAGTGTCACAAGCAACCGCGAGGAACGGTCCTTTGCGGGTATTATGCGTGCGAATTCCTTAGGGTTAATGGACGGTATAGGACTAACGCGGAGGATGTAAGTCTCTATCTATGTACTAGACAGCTCTTGATATTTATGATACTAATATATTGATTAATTTCAATGCATGCAGTTGCCAAGATTAGAATGTCGAACAAGCTTTGACGATACAGGTATCACAAATGTCCAGCGTGATCTGTGCCACTTCATCCACCATGAGTGCTGTCATGTCAAAGGAGATTTCTTTGACCCAGAGGGTGCCCTAGCGGCAAGTGACGAATTCAAGGATCTTCGGAAGTGGAACACTGCTATGCCATAATGTAACTAGATGACGTTATTTGAAGTGACAATGTAAAAAAATATTGTAATATATATATTTTGGCAACACTTTTGAGTTATGCAATATATGTACCAAATGCTTGATAATCTTCCAATATATGTACATAAAAATCTACCTGCAAGAATTTCTATTAAATAATTTAAAAGTAATTTACGGCCAAATTATAATTAAATTTCAAAATTTTCTACCTATCTTCGTAGGTGGAAGTTTTTTTTTTTTGCAAGCGGACGATTCCTATTTTCGCAGGCGGACCGGACTAGCCAACGTCCGCCTGCGAAAATAATCTTCGCAAGCGGACGGCCGCCCCGCCTGCGAAGATCGGCGATCTTCACAATCGTTGGCTTACAGGCGGACGGCCGCCCCGCCTGCGAAGACCCTTTTCGGCCGCTTGCGATAATGCTTTTCCTAGTAGTGTATATTACCATTTTTTTTAAAAAAAAAACTGCTACTATTTGCGTCATATACAAGTACAACACACCTAGGCATAAAACATGCTGCTATACGCTATTGTAATATATTGTAAGATCAGCCTGAATGCATGCCCTTGGAATGCCACTTCCTAGATTATAAATATCTGATGTTTAGGCATGATTTAGTCTTAACATTTGAAACTTCGAATATCGACAATTCCTCAAATACTTAACTCATAAGGTTAAGTGACGGTACAGTCAGATATAGAGGTGGATATCGAGCCAGCTTTAACTTGTTATACGAGCTAAAAAGTTGCCTCATATCGGCTTGTTTGCTAGCTCATTTAATTAGCTGATGAGTTGGCATTGAGAATGAGTCGGGATTAGCGAGTAGCAGCGATAGAAGCATAGCTGGAGGAGTGGGAACTAGCAGCTGGCTGAGGCGGGGATTGGGAGTGGACATGGAGGGTGGGGTGGCCGACATCATGCCGCCACGAGTCCTCTAACCAAGACATTGTTGCCTACGGGCGATGGTGACATGACGGTTGTTACAAACGAGTGGCAAACCTAACATGCGATAACTAGCAGCTCGACAACAAGAGTAAGGTAGATAACTAGATCTGGGGTTGTGGGGGTGGAGTGGGGTGACAGCGTGACACGATGCAATACAGCGAGTTGGCGAGATCCAAGCGACGTGTGCAAGACAACCGCTGGGGTGGGGGGGGGGGTGGGGATGAGCCCAAGTTGCATAAGCCCTGATATGGTAGTGGTAGATTTTTAAGGTTAGTCCGATTGGCTTGGGCCAAATGGTTGATGGTCCTTGTTGCCTTGATGGGTTGTCGGTCTTAGGGCCTATTTGGGGTGCTTAAAATTCTAAAAAGTAGCTGATTGGTAGCCAGCTTCTGAGAATCTGGCTTCTGGCTTGTTCATTTTCTGGATTCTACAACTACAACTCTTTAGAATCTGGACCAAAAGCTAGTCTATTTGGAGGAGCTTCTGATTCTGGTAGAAGCTACAGCAACTAAAAGCTCCCCCAAATAGACCCTTAGACTCTCGGTCTGTTGGCCTGATATTTCTTTTGGCTCGTTCGGCTCGCGAGCATCTCAGTAAGATAGCTAACAAACTAAAATCTTTGACTCAGCTCGTTAACATTTCTTGAAGAATTGAGTGGAGCCAATCACAAGCCGAACGAGCTATTATGGTTACATCTAGGCAGGGGCAGATCCAGGAACAAAAAATTGGGGGGCTCAGTTACACAGACCACAGTATCTTCAATCTCCAGCCATTTAGGAACCTTTACTTTATCATTCATGGTGAAAAAATCGAAAGGGGTGCTCCGGGGAGTATCCATGGGTCTTGTGGGTGTAGGGGGGACTTGAGTCCCCCCTGCACCCACGTTGGATCCGCCCCTGCATCCAAGCACGGGCAGAGCCACCGCTCGGCTTGCACGGGCAGCCGTCCGGGCTCGCCGTCAAATACACCATTGAACTTTTATTGTTTTGAAAGGATTAAAGTTGAAAATATTATAGCAAATACTAGATATATTTAAATTTGTCTGAGCTTAAAAAATTTCCTAGCTCCGCCACTGCATCCAGGCATACTGATCTGGTGACATAGACAAAAGAAGATGGCACCTGGCCTGGTGGGCTGATGGGCAAATGTGTTGGAGGACACAGGGAGACACGAACCTTTGGTTAGATTTTTAGGATATGTGATACTCCCTCCATCCCATTTTAAGTGTAACCATAAGTAAGTTTTCGCGTCCAACTTTGATCGTCCGTTTTATTTGAAAAAATTATATAATTAGTATTTTTGTTGTTATGAGATGATAAAATATGAATAGTACTTTACTTGTGACTTATGCTTTTATTTTGTTTTTTTTAAAAAAATAAATAAGACGGAAGGTCAAAGTTGGATACGAAAAACTATGACTGCACTTAAAATGGTACGGAGGGAGTAGTTATAATCTGTCTGACTGGCTTCTGAATTTTGATGGGAATTTGTTTCAGATATGCTTACGTGCACATACCTCCACTGTACCGTATATATAGTCAATTACCACTTCGTCTCTGCATATGTACGTAAAACATGCATGTGATATGACTAAACCAATAACCGTATAGTATATGGTTTCTGCAGCTAGAAATCAAAACGATATCGAGAGGGCCAGGGCCCAGAGCATCATTTAACTAGCAACTAGATAATCAATTGCGAGCTAAGTTTACATAGCATGCAAATTAAGCAAACGTCTTGTACTCTTGTGTGGAGTGCTTGCTGGAGTGTGGATAAATAGGTCTTCACAGGGAAGAGCCGGGAAAAGTCTTACACAAGCCCCTGCATCCTCTCTCTCTCTCTCTCTCGCTCCGTCCTCCCCATTACACACACATGGATGCTAACCACGACAAGGTTGTGGAGAGCGGCAGCCGCGGGGGCCGGGGACCGGTGCGGACGATCTGCGTCTTCTGCGGCAGCAGGCGGGGAAACCGGCCGTCCTTCAGCGCTGCCGCTCTCGACCTCGGAAAGCAGCTGGTGAGTCTCGTCGCGTCTTGAGCAATTAATCGATAGTATTAGCTAGCTACTAGCTAGCCATCCATCCAAAAGCTTCAGCTTCCAATGCCATTGTCCATGGAGAAGATGTGTCCTGCTCACTTGGGTATAGTTCTACACTGTCTAGCTCTGACGACGCCCCCAAGCTTATTCCCCCTCCCTTTCGCTCTCGGTCTTTACCCTCTCCTAGCCTCACCCACGAAGGCCTCCATTGATCCACGCAGGTCGAGAGGGAGCTCGATCTGGTCTACGGCGGCGGCAGCGGCGGCCTGATGGGCCTCGTCTCCAAGACCGTCCACGACGGCGGCCGCCACGTCCTCGGGTACGCACGACGACGCACATACACAGTCACTGACTTAACTGTGCCTGCTGATCGATCCATCTGCTGATCACGTCGATGCATCTGTAAATGCATGCAGGGTCATCCCTAGTGCTCTCCTACCTGAAGAGGTATAACAAGCGAATCTCTTGTGTGGAGCTGGAGTAGCCAGTATACGATTGGTCTATTGTCTATCACTTCCTAAAAGATCTTTTACTGCACACACGCATACATATGGAACGTGTTTATTTTACCTTGGTGGTACTACTATGATTTTGTGCAAGCCTTTCCTAGGTGTCAGGGGAGACGTTGGGAGAGGCGAAAGTGGTCAGGGACATGCATGAGCGCAAGTCAGAAATGGCGAAACACGCCGACGCTTTCATCGCCCTGCCAGGTGAGCTGTTAGCCGACTTGTCAACCCCCCCCCCCCCTCTCTCTCTCTCTCTCTCTCACACACACACACACATTGACACAATGACACTGATGCAAACACAAACGAGAATTAATTGGCTAATAGTAGTTAGCTAGTAGGGCCTAGGAGTGATCTTAGCTTAATTAACAACTTAATTGCCGCGTGATGCGCAGGTGGTTACGGGACAATCGAAGAACTGTTGGAGATCATAGCGTGGGCGCAGCTGGGGATCCACAACAAACCGGTACTAAAAGCTACTCCAGTAGCTTAATACTATTAGCTTAACTTAGTTTGTCGTATTTAACTGCCATTTGCATTCTATAATCTTATTGTCCTTGGCCGGTGGATAGGGATTAGCTAGCTAGATTGATGGATAGCGCTTAGCTTAGCTTAGCTTATAGCTAGGCCGTCATGCTTCATGGCCTAATCATTTTCGACATGATCTCCCAATGAATAAACTAGTAGTAGTAACAAACATATATAAATATTGTTGGTGTTGTTTTCGTTAGGTGGGGCTGCTCAATGTGGACGGCTACTACAACAACTTACTCTCGCTGTTCGACAAGGGCGTCGAGGAAGGGTTCATCGACGCCGCGGCGCGGAACATCTTCGTCCTCGCCGACAACGCCGGCGAACTACTGACCAAGCTGACGGAGGCGGCGGCAGCGGCAGCGGCGGCGGTTGAGGGCGGCGACGGGGATCAGGTCGACGGCGAGGCCACGGCCGCGGCGGCTGGCTTGAAGAGGAAAAGAAGCTAGCTATAGCCGTGTGAGCATTGGCCGGCCGTCGTTCTAAGTGTGACTCAATTTCCTCCGGATCGATCCTTTGTTGCTTTTCGTTGGATCGAATCATCGAAGTGTGTTTAATTCGATTCTAAGTGTTGATGTAATATCGGACCTGCCGAACTGGAACCAGGCTTTATTTCATTTCATTTGCTAACCTCTTGGCGAGCAATATGCATGCCGTGCTTAAAATGTAGCACGACAAGCTTCTATATATGTATGCTCGGTATAAGCACTCGTAAGCATATGTAAATCAAGTTTACAACTTTATGTTTCTCTACAACTTGAATTGGCATGTAATGAGCAGCAGCACTAGACCGTATGCAATCTTATATCATGTGCTAATTGCATGAATAATGCATGTAGAGCAAAAGGTTCTCTCTCTCTCCCGCGTTTGATGCCGATCCAGTGGTCTCCTTTGTGGGCTCGTGGCCGAAAACACAAAGCAGTAGTGAGGACTCTTGTTCATTAGAAAGCTGGATTACTAGACAAAAGGATGTTTTATGGCTTGTTAAAATTTTAGATTAAAAATGTGGATTGTAAACTACTTTAAACATTCCAAGACCTCAAGAAGAACCATAGGTAGCACATGACACTATACTCCATCCAGGTATCCATCACATTCACAGCTGGCTTGGCAGTAGCTAGCAGTGGAAGCATATCACTGCACGCAGGTAAGGTAAAAACGCTTTGCCATAAAGGAGGCGAGCAAAGCGGCGGGAGGCGACGGGCGCAGGCCCACCGCCGCGCCCATTGGATCTTCCGCGACGCCCGGTGGCCGGTGGTACGCACTCTCACCTCACGTACTACGTACGTACCTGCATGCATGCCGCGACGCCCGCTCGATCGGCAAGTGGGGTGGGCGCGCTCTAGCTTCTCCCGTTGCCGCGCGCGGCGCGTGTGCCCCCCACACACAATTTATTATAACCACGCGGCCTGCACGCCTGCCCCGCCTGTGGTACGCGCTGCCGCCTGCCGCCCACTGCCTGCCTCTCTGCCTGCTTCCCCTCCCCGGCCCGCGCCACCCGCTGGCCTGCGTGTGTCGTTTTGCCCGCTCGCACCGCGCCCGCGCGGGGGCCGGCTCGGGCGCTCGGCTGGCTCGCCCCATCATCGCCCGCCCGTTGCGTCGTCGTCGTCTCGTCGCGCGCTGTGCTGTGCTAGCTGGCCCCTGGCCGTGGCCGTGTCCCAGCCGCAGCTAGCGCAGCCCACAGCGCGCGCAGGGGTGGCCGTTGTCCCAATTATTGTCTATACTACGGGAGCGTATAGCGAGGACGAGGCGCTGTTGCCCTTTCTTTTTTTTCCTCCCATGTCCGACTCTGAGGTCTGCTTCTGCGCGCGCACTGTGCAGCGCGTGCGTGCGCCTTTGCGAGTTGCGACCCCTTTGGGCTTTTGCCTTTTGGCCCAGCCGGCCAAGCCGTACGCGCACTTGTTGGAGATGCCCTGCCGGCCGCTGCGCTGGCTGCAGGCGACGCGATTGGCAACGCGAGGCGAGGCGACTAGGCCAGGGTGCTATTTGGTTCTCACATCGTCGTCAAGTCTCGACTCGACGGCGCTGCGGCTGCAAGCCTGCAAGGCTGGCTGCGACTGCAACCGAGGTGGTGCGGTGTCCTGTTCGTCCCATGTTGGCGTCCCGATTATTTGCGGCACGGGGAGTCGGGACGGACGAGGAGAGGGCAAGCAAAGCTTCTTTTTTTTTTTTTGGGTGGTACCACAATGTGTACTGGGCAAGTACGTACGGGCGCGAGTAGTAAAGGTGAACTGAAACCATTCACGTCACGAGTCTGTAACGATTGAGAGGAAACCGGGGAATTTAATTCCTCTGCTGGCCCCCTACATCTGCAAAGGTGAGATCGATGTCCCTGTAACGTACGACGATTGCTCCGAGTTGGATAGGCCTATGTATGTGACGCACGGTATGCAAAACCATGCAGTTATCACACAGTTACCCCGTACGATAACATCCTCAGTTTTTAAACAACAGTAATCCCCGCGATAACTGCCTTACCGTAGGGTGATGATAATCTAATCCAAAACGGTTTGGTGAACCCTGATGTGATGTTGTGTGTTCACTCAGCCTTAATCTGCGATGCCGTTTACTGCAAGAGAAACCGTGTACTCCGTCCATCCCAAAAATACTCCAATCCTAGATTTCCGAGATAGAGTTAAGGAGGGAGATAAAAGACCAAAATATCTCTATAATTAGTAGTAAAGGTATATTAGTGGGTGCGTAGGTGATGAGGGATAAAATGTTTTGATTTGTGGACCAATGGTAAATAAAAATGTAGATGTTGATCTATTTTAGAAAAAAAATAAACTCTAGAAGTTTGTTTATTTTGGGATGGAGGGAGAGAGTACATGATATGGTTTACCGATGCACATTGCACCCTTCTCCATCACCACATTGCGCCCTCCCCAATGTCTGATATGATTATCTGCTGCTTTTATGGCACTCACAGCGCATGGCACACCAAACCAGGCTCACAATCTTTACGTAACAAAAAAAGTAGAGCCACACACCTCCATAGTGCACTGTATCCCCATTGGGTCTAGGAACTTCTTCATATATAGATCTAGTCATCGAGGCCCCTTCCTACTAAAGGCGACTTCGGCCGGCGAGATCAACGACGAGCCGGCCACACTAGGCAATGGACATGTAGCTTCATGGCAGCAGCTAGCCTCGTTGTCAATGACACTTCCGGGTCATCGATGCCTTCCCCTTTCTCTCCTGCTTTCTACCCCTCTTTCTTGCCTTTTGTTTTCCATGCCGCCTTTTTGCTTCTCCCTTACGAGGACACTAGGTCTTAACAGGGACGAGCAACTCAATCACTAGGGACACAAACATGTGCCAAACGCATGTGAATGGTTAAATGTAGTGCACTGAGGACAAACGCCACCTCACTATATTGTGAATAGCCTTATGGAGTACATGGGGGAATGCATGGCGATTCAAAAATACAATTTTTTTAGTTGAATGAATGTACTGAGTATGAAATGAATGTGAAGTTTTGACTTCATGTTGACAGAAAAACATTGAGAGGGGGGTGTTGGTCAAGGTAGAACATATCATCAAAAACTTTCTGGATCACAAGGTGGGAAGGTTTGAGCAGGATGGAGATGATAGAAGAGAGGTTTGTCTATGGAGCATTGCTGCCCAAACGAAGAGGAACTAGAAACTGAAGTCGAGGTTGCAGCAAATTTCGTCGAAATTGTTGGAGGGCATTTTGGGTTCAACGGAACATAGCATGTACTTCATCCATTCCAAAATATAAATATTCGAATTCACTATTTCACTTGCAACAGATTTTTGGCTCCTATCTTTCGATTTTTCTTATGTAATCTTGCATCAAGATTTAGGTTCTTCTATATCCAACTTGCATTTACACTTAGTTACAGAGAAGCAGTTAGTCATTATGACTAAGTGCTTGCATTTAATTACTTGCATTTTCATAGCAAGGTGGTGCTTTTTTAAGTATGTTTATATCTCTTATATCTCCTCTTTTAAGTAGTTAATCAATTACTTTTAATCATGATTTTTTTACATAGTGTGTATTAGAAAAGTTATAACGAACTTAATAGTGTAACTATAATGTAAGTTTTAAATCTTATACAGTGTAATTATAATATAAATGGATATAATTTTACAGTGTAAAATTGATTTTGAATGTTTATATGGAAGTGGCGTCGTAAATATAGTCCGTCTCTTTTTTAAGGGGTGGGGTGAATTGAGGGAAGAGATGGCATTGACGCACCCAAATTTAGTGGAGCAATGTGATCCTTCGGAATATCCAAATGCAAGCCTCCATATCTTCATTTCATATGGAGGGTCATCCAAAGATTCCCCGCTATATTTCTTGACACTGTAGCGGATCATTCATATTACATCTTTCAAAATTTACTCTCCAACCTTTTAATAATAAGTATCATTTAACTACCTGATGATGCTCTCTCTCGTGGCCCAATCTTCTGGTGAGGGGATAACTCTCATTTTGATCGAGTGTGACGTTTGCGACGTGGCTACCAACCAAATGAAGTCCAGGATGCCGGGCAATCGCTACACCACAAACAATGTCGTACCAACCGTGACGCGCGGTTGATGATCCCTGCAATGCAAACGAGAGAACACTGCAAGAACAAGATAAGATGCAATCTAAATATTGCGAATAGGTGATTAAGCACAAAGAAATAGTTGCGATTGAAGTGGTAGATCTAATAGACCCGACAAATCAACACACCAACTATTGCGGGCTCTGAATCAATAGTCGCCAACTAATCGAGCGAGGACTAAAGACAAGGTGAATGGCACTTGGCAAAATTCAACTAAACAAAACCCAAATGTTTTTGAGGATGTACAAAGCTATTTATAGAGGGAAATAAAGCTAGGGTTAAGTTTGGAGGTGGAGGGAGACACTTTCGAGATGGGCCTAGTCTATTATAAGGCCCAAGGCCCAAGTTCGGTTTTAGCAACAACATTGTCTTATTTTGGCGATTCCCATTGACTCGAGATGAATTTGGACACGAGACCGGATGCGTTTGAAAGGTAGCGAGATAAGCTTTCCATGAAGTCTAAGATCACCCAAATCGGAGTTGGCATGAAGGCGCTAGGTCCGTTTGAAGTCAGTGCTGTCTCCGGATGCCGAACTGGACTTGGACTTGGAATTATCATTGGAACGTGTGAAGTTATGAGCGTATCCGACAAAGTGATATCCTCATCATCCTCCCCTTCTTGAATTGGAGTCGTCCTCGACTCAATCCCGTTTTCTTGATTGTGTGCACTCTCTCGTCCAGTGGCCATCCTTGGAGGTGTCTCATCGTGAAAAACATCCTCATATTACTGCAAAAGGTTAGTAACAACGGGTGGCAAAGAATATAAAGTACTAGGAGCAGTAGCCAATGTGAGTATAGGATCTTTGCAAAATAGAGCATAGCAACAAGAATCTAGCTCATCTAGTGCACATATATTATATTTAGAAGCCAACAAAGCACCCTTCAACTTAATTTCATTCTTTGTGGTACTTGGTTCTATTTTACTAGTTGAAGCAGGATGTTTAGCAATAATCTGATTTTCACTTTTCGCTTTCTTTTCACATTCAAGTCTTGCAAGATCATCTTTGAAAGCAGCGGCTGGAGTCATAGAATGCAAAACAACTCTTTTACCATCGAACATAAATTTATATGTATTAGTCCTACCATAAGAAACAACTTCTCTATCATATTGCCATGGTCGCCCCAAAATAACAGAACAAGCTTGCATATGCACAACATCACATTCAATTTGATCATGGT